AAACTTTGCAATACAGGGGGTACTTCTTCTAAATAAAATCAGTGGTTTACTAAAAATTGTTAAAATGATGAGGTCGCATAAGTAAGACAACGGAGACATTAAATAATTTACAAAAGATTTTTCCATTATGTTAAAGGATCGGTGAAAAGTCCGAGGGAAATGAAGAGGTAGGGGTGGTAGGGGGCATGATCTTCACCCTCCCCCTGCTTGTTAGAGATCTGCGAATGCAGCGACTGTATGTCGTTTACTCTGTGTCGCTTACTATTCGTAAGGAGATCAGAGGTTAGACACTGTGTTATACAGATACTATAACCTTACATGGAATAATAAAATCATAGGGAAGACCACAGGTCACCCAACATAACCCATAAATGTTAAACTCTTATATATCATATATCTTATAATATTGCAGTTAATGTTACTCAGCACCCCCGTCCCCACCCCCTCTATCTTTTCTAATACCCATCAGATGGTTATTCCTTTGACAAAAATAAATTTTCTGGGTTTTATTTTACACTGTAAAGGCTTCACAGTATTACGGTTTATTCTATTTTAACTTTGCATATGCTACGCACTACATTTTGTAGCGGAGTAAACAGGCCCGATAGCCGTGAACTGAGCAGGGGACCTAAGGTCCTAGTTGAGCGTACGATTTATCCTTCTGCAAAGCGGTAAGTCCACTCAGTAGCAATATCATTAGTAAGTAAAAACTCATGAAACTGAGCATTATGGTAGATTTCTTTTTTATTTTATTTATCTCAACATGTTCAATGTGAATTTAGGAGAAAAATAGAAACTGGCTTTTATCTATCATGTTAATAGAGTCTACTCATATTTTTCGAACTGTTTACAGGTAAACCGAAAGTAGAATGTTTTGCTTTGTTAAAAAAAATAGTTTTACTTTTTTTAAATTATTAATTTTATCTTAATGGTTATGTTTATCATAAGAAGGGTCATTTGAATAAAGAAATATAATATTACACTATCAGAATAAAATTATATTTAAATCATGACAAGATAATGATAATAATAAATGTCAGAATAGGGGCCTGTTCATGTACGGACGTGTCACATTATCAGGACATCAATTTTAAATATCCGCGTCAAAACCATAAAATTTACATGACACGTTTTCTGCATATCAAGTGAAATGTAATCGATTGCATTCAGAACACCATTACACGGACAGGGTGCCAAAAGGTTCAAGCATATGTTTTAGTTTGACGTCACAATCGTTGAACACCTAGATGAAGTGCAAAGTCATAAGCGAAAATCATACTCACATTGACCAGAAGCTGTTATTTTGGCTCTGCCATTAACTGCAGCTTTCATCATGTTCATGAGGGATATAATACATAATTATTTCGTTTTTTTTTAAATATAAATCACATTTGTAGTCAAGGTAGAGAGCTAAAAAATGTAAATATAAGCAATGAATCATTATTTTTGAAAGATTTAGTCTCATAACTGCAACGGTGTGTGTAAACAAATTTTCATAACTCATGTGACAATTTTTTTGCAAACATCGTTGTTAAGTCAGGTCTGGACGATTTCTAAATATATGGAAGTCAAGAACGATAACCGAGAATTGCTATAAATGTACATCAAGTACACGTTATTATTTTTCTGTCCAATCAGACAACAGCATTTTTACACACCCCAAAACATATTTTAAAAGAACAAAAAGATAGCACGTGCTTTTGTTTTTTTCCTCAAAAAGATTTTTTAAGCAAAAAATCTGTAAAAGTAAGATGAAAACTTTTGAAGAATAAGGTATTCCCCACATTTTTACCGTGAACAACCTTGACATTTTTATCTCGGTAAAGAAAGAAAATAATGCACGATAGAATGTAATCGCCGGTTTACAGAGGTATGGATCGCACCAGCAAGTTTTCATCAAGTTTAATTATAACTTTTACCAGTATATAATATATGATCGTAAATATAATTTTGCTTAGCCGTCCGATTTTCATCGATAATGCTTAAATTCCATGTGCATAGACCAACTCACACAAGTGTTTAAATCGTATGGAGTATACAAATATAGTTTTGCATTATCACGGGTTTCATGAGCACCAAATACTTAGCTATGCAGACTTTAAATGGGCATAAGGAAAGGCGTTTAACGTGGAGAAAAGAGAATCCTGTAATTATACATGAATGCGTTTTATCCCAATATCTTACTTCGCATATCAAAAACTGCATGAAATATATACTAGCATTCTGTAATAAACACTCAAAAATAATAAAGACTGTTAACTTTTCGATAAGATTTTTATGTCAGGCTCTATAAACTGAAAATTTACCGTATTTATATCAATTTTTTAACGTAAGTAAACTTTTGGGATTGCTAACTCCTAGAGACAGATTTTTTTTATCCCACTTAAAACGTATTCCAAGCTTTCAAGTCGTGTTTGTTCACGGTAGAATTGTCATAAATATTATATTATTCGCAAATGCGCATAAAGTTTACAAAAATTTTGTTCTAAAAAAATCTTTTGAGCAAAAAACTTAAAAACCACGTGTTTTATTTATTCTGTCATGGGTTTGTCTAAATGCTGTTATCTGATTGGTCAGAAGGATTAGTGCCTTGTTTATTCTGTGTATTAATAGCAATTCACGGTTATCGTTCTTGACTTCCATATTTAGAAATCGTCCAGACCTGTAAGTAATGAGACTAAATCTTTCAAAAAATAATCATTCATTGCTTTTATCAGCACTGTACAATGATATAATGTACGTTACATATTTTTAAAGGTTCAGTTCAGGATGAATTCTGGTGCTTATGAAGTGATGAAGGGAAAACCATGGAAAGCTATCAACTTTGATTGGGATTTTTCAGTCGGTGATAATGGACTCAGAAGAGGAATCGCAATTATAGAAGAGAGGAAAAGTTTTATTACAATGTTGGAAAAGTTAGAGTTTCAAATTTATCCATTTGACCAGAAAAATGTGAAGAAGACAAGAAATTTATCCAAGTCCGGATTTTTGAAGGAACTTAATGAATGTAAGTCAATGTTTCACTATTTGTTTTAATCCACTACATATTGTTTTTATCAGGCATGTATTCAAACACAAGAGTTTGCATTCTTATTAATTTTACCAAATTTTTCTGTAAATCAAAAAAATATGTATTATCTATACTGTAGAATCACAAATTTTCGTGGGGATAAAATTTCGTTGATTTTTCATCAAAAATAGTTTCGTTGGCATTTAATTTCGTTGTTTTGAATGTAATTCTATTCAATATGTATTCATATAAAATGTTCGTGTGGGATTTAATTTCGTTGATAATTGTTAACAAAGAAATAAACGAAATTTAATCCCCCACGAACATTTGTGCTTTTACAGTACATGTTAGTGTTATTATTATAGGTATTACATATTTTTTTAATTAACTTGATTTTTTATTTTTATTTTAAATGATAAATTTATTTTTAAAAAATTGTAAACTGATCGAAATGAGCTAGTTCACGCTTTGTGCTTTGATAATGTGATAGAAAAAGTTCATAAATGTTTGTTTAAACATGTTTTAGTTAAAAGACTTTGCTGTGAGGACACATGTGGGTGCCTTTTGGTGACAGTTTCTTCCCATGGAGTCATTCTACCGCAAAATGAACAAAGAGATGGACAGACAGACAAGGTGGAAACATATGAGGACTACATCTTGACACACCCAGAGCCAGAACAGCAATTCTCACCGAAATTCAAAGATGAACGTGTCTCGGTGCGGGAAATAGCTGAAATATTCAGAGATCAAAGATTAAAAGGAATACCAAAAATATTCTTTATTCAGGTACCATTGCACTTTAAAAAAATAAAACTTGTAAGTATGGTAAAACACCAATTTTTGTGACTGCATGATTTTGATGGAATGTTGTTTAATTGCTATAAGCAAGGCAAAATTTCCTCCAATTAAAGTTGTTATTGTCTGTGTTCTATATGATTTGGTTTTTTTTACTCAAGAGAACAAAAATTTCTTTGTAGGCATGTAGAGATGAATCAAAACAAATAACGGGAGATCCAGGGGTGGATGTAGGTGTACAACTTTTTCTTGGAGAAGAAGACAGTGTGTCGGGCAAGTTTTAAATTCATGGCATCATGTTTTTCTATAGTTTTGAATTCATGGATTGACTGGTCAATTTTGACAAAAAGAGCTTATGTATCTACCCCCCTTCAAAGATGGGGTGGCATATTGCTTTGCTGCTGTCAGTCGGTTGGTCTGTTGGTCAACCAAGTTTCTATTCATTTTTAGCTCACCTAAGCCGAAGGCTCAAGTGAGCTTTTCTAATCAAAATTTGTCCGTTGTCTGTCGTTGTTGTACACTTTTCATTTTCATCTTCTTTTCAAGATCTGCGGGGCCATTTTCAACCAAACTTGCCACAAGTATCCTTGGGTGAAGGGGATTAAAATTTGTTCAAATGAAGGGCCAGGCCCTTTTCCAAGGTTAGATATTATTATGAAGTTCTGAAAAATTAATGACATCTTTTAAAAATCTTCTTCTCCATAACCATTGGGCCAAGAAAGATGGAACTCATGTGGAAGCATCCTCAGGTTGTGTAGATTCAAGTTTTTTTGAAATCAGGACCACGGGTATGGGGGGGGGGGGCTGGGCAACAATGGCTGATCAAAGTTTTACATCGGAATATATAGGAAAAATCTTTAAAAATCTTCTCCTCCAGAACCATAAGGCCAGTAAAGATGAAACTCTTGTGGAAACATCCACAGGCAGTGTAGATTTAAGTTTGTTCAAATCATGACCCCCGGGGGTAGGGCGGGGCCACAATGGCCGATCACAGATTTACATAGGAATACATAGGAAAAATCTTTTTAAAATTATCTTTTCAAGATCAGCAAAGCTATGATTGGTGATATTAATATGGAAACATCCTCAGTTATAGTTAATGCAAGTTTGTTCATATCAAGACCCCTAGGGGTAATGTTTGACCATAATTGGCAATCAAATATTTACATAGAAATATAAAGGGAAACTCTTTGAAACTCTTCTTCTCAAGTATTCAAAATTATACATGTATGTTTTATTGATAAAGTGACATTCTCAAGTAAAAAAAAAACTCAAATCCTTTCTCCCCCAACCAGTAAACTTTTCAATACTGAGCTGATTTGTGTTTTTTAACTAGCTCATGTGCTCAGGTGAGCGATATGTTGTAATTTTTCTATCTCGTCAAACTTTAGCCATGATAAACCACAACATCCAAGTCATGCTCATGCTTTTTTATTCTGTCCCAGAGTTTACATTCAAGTCTAAATAAATTATTAACAACCCGATAAAACAAATCGGATCAAAACGGATTACATGTACATTATCATTACAGATGTGGCCCATGGGCCTCTTGTCTTCAAAGGATTTGCACATACTGAAATGAAATTTGGTATTCAGATTTATCATTTAAATATTTAGATCAACTTGAAGTTCTCTTTTGGGTACGATTAAAGGCCGAGGTTTTTAAGCGTACAGTTTTCCTCAGGTAAGTTTAGTGTGGGGCAGAGCTAGTTTTCAGCAGGTGTGAATTCCCCAGCGAAGACAAGCTAGCTTGTGTATACATTTCTAAATAACACTGGATGTTAATGTACTACCTTGATTTTTAATTTCAGTGCAGTTATTTTGGATATAAATTTATTGAACGTCAATGAAGACGTTTATGCGTAAATTTTTAATTCTTTTCCCGTAATAATAATCTAATTCATTTAATTTGGTAAATGATCTAAAACGTAGCAACTTGTTTGAAGTTACACTACTTTTTATACGTAAATTTTGAATTCTTTTCTCATAATAATAATCTAATTCAATTGGGACTCAATCTAAAACGTAACAACTTGTTTGAAGTTACACTACTCTTTCCGATGGGAGTTCCTTTGTATTGCTGCGGATTTTCTGGCTATGTAACGTTCATCTTCCCATACGCCACGGTGACATAACATGGTCCAGAACTTCTTGAAAAGTTTTCTTCTGTTGGTCTTAGTTTTTTTGGACTGCTTACTTTAATGATATTACATGCTGTTTTCTCAGCCTTGCTGCCACCTAATGATTTCGTTTTTCCGCTTTCTTGGTTACATGTATATGTGACATGTATGATTACAGGCATATTTTCTTGACCTCATTGTCCAAAACTTTTTATATTTGTTTTTCCTGATTGCGGAATTCCTGTCATGTGTGTGTGTGTGTGTGGGTGGGGGGGGGGGGGGGGGGGGGGTGGTGCACTATTTCCAAGTCAGCCCTGTATGTTAGTGATCACACATGGATGCCAAAAACAATACATACTGTCATGCATTCCTGAGGCCTGTTCAACAAAGCCAGAGCTTGTGAACATTTCTAATTTGTCCTTCAGTAAATCGTTTTTCATTACTGTAAATCTGGAAATTTTTACTTTGATTGATATTATTTTTGCGATTCAGGGTCAAAAGCATGTGAATGAATTTTACATATAAAATTTTTGTAAATTGTCATGGAACTTAACCTGAAAACCACCTAAAATTTTCATAATCATTTATAAGTAACTACTTATGTACAGAAAACAAATTACAATAAATTACACATGTACTCGTGTATACAATATTAAACGATGCCAATGATAAATTGTCAGATAGAAATATGAAAAGCGATAAAACATCTAAACTTTTGAAAGTTTTCATAACACTTTACTAAGTTACAAATGGACATAAAATACATAAATCAATGTAATCTTTATTATTAGTTACATTTGAATAAAAACATTTTTTATTAAAGAAAAAAATATTTGGTGAATGCAATGCATGCACAAATTTGCTTAAAGTTTATTTACTGTAACAGATTTATGGTATGTCGATGAGATTTTCTCCAGTCTCACTGAAATCTTATTTTTCAGATATTTCAGTTGAAATTCCACGGACCCCATCTGAGAACCAAATTGTATACTCACCTCCCTGCATTGACGATAGTGTCATAGTGTTCTCAACTCCATTTGGTAAGTAGTAAAGAAATGTGAGAGATAGAGACTGCATATTTGGTATGCATACTCCACTAATAAAGTCCTTTCAAATAACACCAAGGTCAATGAGCTTGTGACCTTTATGCTAAAAATAGCTTGGTTGCTGCCGGATGCATAGTGTTTCACAAACACATCTTGAGTGTTCTTCAGCTTACCTGAGCTGGGCTTTTCTGATCAAAATAAATTTGTGTGTTGTCTGTCGTCATTGTTTTCGCCATTGGCCTTATTGGCTTTGTCTGTGTTGTCATAAACTTTTTCACATTTTCATCTTCTTCTTAAGAACCACTTGGTCAATTTCAACCAAACTTGCCACAAAGTTTCCTAAGGTAAAGGGGGATTCAACTTTGTTCAAATAAAGGGCCATGCCCTCCTCTTCCAAGGGGAGATAATTACCGGGTATAAATAAGTGAAAAATTAATGGCATCTTTTAAAAGATAATCTTCTCAAGAACCACTGGACCAGGAAAGATGATACTCATGTGGAAGCATTCTTAAGTACTGTAAATAACTTTTATTCATGAGAACTTTATTTTCACGTAATTATGTGAGAAGGTATGCTCGCAAAAATATTAATCTCACGTTAATAGAATTCCTTAAGATTATATAGAGCAATGACCACAATTCGTGAAAATTTTGTCTCGCTAATATAAAGAGTCAATGACTATCTGGCGTAAGTAAGGAGTTGAAAAATTAAGTGATCTACAGTAATGTAGATGTTCAAATCATGACCTTAATAGGTAGGGTGAGGTTACAATGGCTGATCAAAGTTTAACATTGAAAAAATCTTTAAATATCTTCTTCCCAAGAACCACTGGGCCAGGAAAAATGAAACTCAAGTGGAAAAATCCTCTAGTAGTGTAGATTCAGGTTTGTTCAAATCATGACCCCCAGTGTTGGGCCCAGTGTTTTCCTTATAACAACCGGCTACTGGCCAAATTGACCGCTTCAATTGACAAAAATGCCGCTTTGAAATAAAAATTTGTTGTTAGGTCCACAGAGATTTTGTTCATAAACCTCAGCCCCTAGCCTCTCACAATTTATCTTTAACACTGTACTTTAAAGTAAATGGAAAAACAAGATGTGTTTGTGAAACACTGATGCCCCGGTATGGCAACATATCAAAGACTAAACTTTTCTTAAATGCAAATTTAAGTAATTGGTACAAAAGCAGGGTATTCTCATTGAAAAACAAGTGAAATTTGAAAGTAAACCAACGGTATAAAGTTTTTTAGCTCACCTGAGCCAAAGGCTCAAGTGAGCTTTTCTGATCACATTTTGTCCGTCGTCCGTCCGTCTGTCTAGCTGTCTAGCTGTCCGTCTGTCTGTAAACCTTTCACATTTTCGACTTCTTCTCAAGAACCACTGGACCAATTTTGACCAAACTTGGTACAAAGCATCCTTGGGTGAAGGGAAATTTAAATTGTAAAAATAAAGGGCGAAGTCCCCTCACAAGGGGAGATAATCAAGAAAAGACAAAAATAGGGTTCATTAAAAAATCATCTTCTCAAGAACCACTGGGCCAGAAAAGTTGAAACTTCTGTGAAAACATTCTGGAAAAGTGTAGTTTCTAAATTATTCAAATCATGACCCCCGATGGTAGGGCGGGGCCACAATAGGGAATCCAAGTTTTACATAGAAATGCATAGGAAAAATCTTTGAAAATCTTCTTCTCAAGAACCACTGGGCCAGAAAAGCTGAAACTTATGTGGAAGTATCCTGGGTTAGTGTAGATTTTAAATTGTTCAAATCATGACCCCCGGGGGAAGGTGGGGCTACATTGGTGAATCAAAGTTTTACATAGAAATATATTGGAAAAATCTTTGAAAATCTTCTTCTCAAGAACCACTGGGCCAGAAAAGCTGAAACTTATATGGAAGCATCCTGGGGTAGTATAGAATCTAAATTGTTCAAATAATGACCCCCGGGGGAAGGGTGGGGCCACAATGGGGAATCAAAGTTTTACATAGAAATATAAAGGAAAAATCTTTGAAAATCTTCTTCTCAAGAACCAGTGGGCCAGAAAAGTTGAAACTTATGTGGAAGCGTCCTGAGGTAGTGTAGATTCTAAATTGTTCAAATCATGACCCCCGGGGGAAGGGCGGTGCTACATTGGGGAATCAAAGTTTTACGGGGGAAGGGTGGGCCACAGTGGGGAATCAAAGTTTTACATAGAAATATATAGGAAAATTCTTTGAAAATCTTCTTCTCAAGAACCACTGGGCCACAAAAGCTGAATCTTATGTGGAAGCGTCCTGGGATAGTGTAGATTCTAAATTGTTCAAATCATGACCCCCGGGAGAAGGGCAGGGCCGCAATGGGGAATCAAAATTTTACATAGAAATATATAGGAAAAATCTTTGAAAATCTTCTTCTCAAGAACCACTGGGCCAGAAAAGCTGAAACTTATGTGCACATGGAAGGATCCTTGGGTAGTGTAGATTTCAAAATGTCTAAATTATGTTCAGTGGGGTAGGGTGGGAATGTATTATGTATTACAAGGAGGAAATCTGGTAAAGAACAGAATGGTCAAAGCTTCTCAGGTGAGCGATGTGGCTCATGGGCCTCTTGTTTTCCAAAGTCAAGGTCAAAAGGTCAATGTAATTTGGTATCAAATGAAAGGTCTTGCCACATAGAATACTTATGTACAGCATGAAAGCCCATGCCCTAAAAGTTCAGAAGTTATGGCCAAGGTTCAATTTTTTTAAAAAGTAGGTCAAACTCCAAGGTCTAGGTCAAAGGGTCGAAGTTATTGTTATGAAATGAAAGGTCTTGTCACAAGGATTATATATGTAAAGTATAAAAGCACTAGCCCTAACCCTGTAAAAGTTATGGTCAAAGTTTGCTTATTTAAAGTAGGTCAATCTCAAAGGTCAAAGGGTCAAAGTTCTTGGTATCCAATGAAGGGTCGTTTTACAAGGATTCAAATATGAAGTTTGAAAGCCCTTTCCCTTACCATTCAAAAGTTATGGCCAAGGTTAAAGTTTTTCACAAGTACGGAAATCTACAAGGTCAAGGTCAAAGGGTCAAAGATGCTTGGTATCCAATGAAAGGTCTTTCAACAAAGATTACATATGTGAAGTATAAATGTCCAGGTATCTACTGTTCAAAAGATATGGCCAAAGTAAAAGTTTAAAATTTTCATGTAAAAGTGGGTCAAACTCCAAGGTCAGGGTCAAACGGTCAAATTTGGTGGTACCCAAAGAAAGGTCTTCTCACAAGGAATACACGTGAAATATAAAAGTCATAGCTCCACTAACTCAAAAGTTATGGGCAAGGTTTAAGTTTTTGCGGACAAACAGAGGGACAGACAGACAGCTAGATAGACAAAAGGTCACAACAAAAACTATATACCCCCGAAACTTTGTTTACGGGGGCATAAAAATCCAATCCCAGAAATTTCTTGACAAGCCAAAAAAAAATTAAACTCGCACAAACATCAAAAACCTATTTCGGGGGGTGGGGGGTAGACTTTGACTTCTATTGCCTTAAATCTTTCACTTTTCATACCCATTTCACACATATTCGCATTTACCAGGGGGGTCAGTGTTTTCCAAGGGGGGTCCATGGTAACTTTTTTCTTGCTTTAGTATATACCTTTTTTAACCTTGTAAATTCCAGGGGGGTCCTGACACCCAACCCCCTCTAGATCCACGCATGGAATACATAGAAAAAATTGTTAAAATTCTTCACAAGAACAACATAGCAGTGCAATGAACAAAGAAATATCAGGGTTTTATCAATAAAAATATTCAAATTACAAACAGCAAAGTCATTATGTATCAGATTATTTTAAAAGCATCCATAGGAAGTATAGATTAAAGTTTGTTCAATTACCCCCCCCCCCCTCCCTTCCCACTTCCCAAACCCACTTTTATATTTAAACTTCTCAATATTGAACTGATTTCTATTCTTTTACCTAGCTAGTTGCTCAGAGGACTGATGTGGTCCCTGGGTCTCTAGTTTTTTATACCCTGGTTCCAAATTGTATGCATAGAATAATAGTGATTGTCCTTATGTTTTCAGGCTATGCAGCAGGATTTAATTCTGTAAGGGGAAGCCATGTTTGGAGTGATCTTTCCAAGAAATTTAATGAATTTAAAGATGCAGGAAGGCCTGTAAATCTTCTGGACTTCTTGAGAGAAACCAACTGCCAGCTATCTCAATCTCAGAACACTGTCAGCATCAAAACAGATATTGTTAAATATAAACCATTACTCAGTATCTGCCATACACTTACAAGACACATTGTGTTTGACAAGGACATGTAGCTTTCTATACAATGTATTCCCACATAGAAATGCTTTTTGTGATTTTTTTTTAAAAAAAAAAAACATAGTTTTCTCTATATTTCACATAGAAATGCTTTTTGTGATTTTTTTTTAATCCATATGTAGTTTTCTGTATATACCCACATAGAAATGATTTTTTTTTGTAAAAGACAATGTTTTTACAGATATGAGGCCTAACAAAGGGGTAGCAGTGCTACAATTTTAATATTGCAGAACTGTCTATGACAACTTTGTTTATAATTTAATATCAAAATTACTGGCCCAATGTACATCATCAAATCCATAGTCAATACCAATTGTCTTTTCAACCAAACATGATGCCTAAATTTGTAAGACTGGCATTGGCAAAGGAAAAATTAGAAATTCTATAGTTCTATAATTTAACTCGATAAGTGTTGGTGTTATTTATGCATTGTTATACAGTGAACTTTGTTATCTTTAACATCTAGGTATCTGAGATATCATAGTGATTAAAAATCTCAACTACATATAATTCATTATTGTAGCCTTGATATCCCTTGCCTTTGTATATGTTTAAGTTTTCTTCTGGTCTCAACAAGTTTGAAAGAAAATAAATTTTTGGCAACAAAATGCAACCATACGTATCATCCAGCAATTGTAGAACTTTATACGATATTGCTATTTGTAGCGCCTGTTGGACACCCAAACAAAACTGATGCTCTCTGATTCCACATGTTTGTCTTAAGGTCAGAGAATTCAATTTTGACCTTATACTCTATCAGTAGCTGTGTGATATTATACATTGTATGTTTAGTTTCACTCTATCAGTAGCTGTGTGATATACAATGTATGTTTAGTTTTACTCTATCAGTAGCTGTGTGATATACATTGTATGTTTAGTTTTACTCTATCAGTAGCTGTGTGATATTATACATTGTATGTTTAGTTTTACTCTATCAGTAGCTGTGTGATATTATACATTGTATGTTTAGTTTTACTCCTATCAGTAGCTGTGTGATATACATTGTATGTTTAGTTTTACTCTATCAGTAACTGTGTTATATATTGTATGTTTAATTTTACTCTATCAGTAGCTATGTGATATTATACATTGTATGTTCAGTTTTAATTAGTCTGTAGCTGTGTGATATTATACATGATATATTGGTTTTCTTTTATTTTGAAGGCGGTCATCAGAAAAAATTGTTTCAATCCTGATGCTTAAATTCATTCCTGATTCTCCCTGTTCAACAATTTTTGTGATAATCATTTTAGATTGACATCATATCCATGTCTTGTATCACGCTTCAGGATTAAAGTTGAATAACTGTCATATATTACATGCATCAAGAATTCTTTATTTTTATAAATAAATTTGCTGTAAATCTAGTGTGTTTATGTTAATCAATAATCAATAAATTTTGTATTTCTTGCTATGAAATTATCTAGTGTACATATGATAACATTTCTATTTCTTTCTCTCTGTGATAAGTCTGAAAGTTAGTGCAGTTGACTTCTTTATCATTCTACTGGAATGTAAATTTCATATGCAATATAGGCCAGGAGCTAAGGAGACCTAAAATGCATGTAAATCTTGTCTGGCTTTGACGATAGTGGGCAGGGAGCCAGGGACTACTAGTATTGAAATTGACACGGGATTGTAGTAATTTAAATCTATTAGTCCACATTTTTAAACTTAAATTTACATTTTTATTTCAAAATGAAATGAAAATATAATGAATCACTGTTTAGTTAGTTAAGAATACCAGGGACATTACTGATAGAGGGAAACATTGGATAATTTATGCACGATGGGATTCACTCTTTATGCAAATTATTCCGTCTCCAACTATTGTTGATGCCCTGGCATACTTTTCTAGGTAGACAGTGATTCTTTAAATATTGTTTGGTTGCCCTTTCCCAGCCGACTGGTGACTTAAACTTTTCAACTTCTATTACTTATAAGTAGCATTAAATATGTTTATGACTGGTTCGATACGGAAGAGTATGCTCTACATATGAAAGTTTAAGAGGTACTGGTAGTTATTCACTGAATTGTCGATGGATTTTTCCATGTTTTTTTTCCGATCATGACAACGAGAACACAGGGTTGTGACCGGTCTGTAGGAGATGCTCACTCCTCAATGGCACCTGATCACATTTCTTACGTTTTAAAGGTCCAAGTTTGCGACGGATGCTCCTGATTCGCATTGTTTAATTAATGACAGATGATGCAAACATTTTTTTTTCTTTGGAGATGTCTAAATATCATGTCTCAGGTTTAGAAAAGTTGATAACTCTTAGACTTTTTTTCCTCCTAAAACTTGGAAAATGAAAAATATAGACTTGGCAAATATTAGCAATACTTCAATAAAGTAACAAATACTCCAGAATATGCATATTAGCTTGGTGCTAAAAGTATAATATACATTTTAGAAAATTGTACCAAGCCATGTGAATTTTATCGGGGGAAAAATTCAAAATGATAAAAATAAGCTGCAGATCTGTAGCGTTAAGGTTATATATATTTTTCTTTGACCATAACGCTACAGATCCCGTAATGCAAAAAAGGTGCAATTCACGGCGCAATATTTTTGCTCTTTTGGGGAGAATTTCTTCACTTAGTTTCCAGCATTGGTCAATTAACTACCTTTCACTCCCTAATTCTAGACACGTTCTGTAGCCAATATGTATATTTTATCCACCTCCCAACCCTTTATAGTCGTCTCTACAGGCAAAAAAACTCGTTTGAAGTGAATTTTCAGCAATCTAACAAATACTTTTAATCCAGCGAGTTAACACTTGTAGAGACGACTATAAAGGGTTGGGAGATGGATAAAATACTCAGATTAGTTAAATAATGTGCCTAGAAATTGGGAGTGAAAGGTAATTAATTGATCGATGCTGGAAAGTGGAGAAATTTTCAAAAGAGCGCAAAAAATATTGCGCCGTAAATTGCACCTTTTTAGGCGGAGGCCGCCTATTACGTTTGCTTTGTTGACCTTTCGTCCTCTCAAGATGCTTGCCACGTTTCATGGTACTCCAAACGGATGTATCTTAAACTAAGGGCAGACAACCCGCTAAATCATATTCGATCCCCTTCTCAATATGTATCGTTATTATCATATCAAAAAGCGTGTGTTATGGCAAATTAATTTTAACAATTTATTTTGATTAATGTAAAAAAGTCTAATAAAAATAATAGCCTAATAATAAAACGAATAGTTATTTTAGTACTCCTGATACGTTTCATGTTTTGAGAGAAGAACGAACGACAACACATTAACAATCGGGTTCAACATTTGATTAGCACGGGGTCCTGGAGCGATCTTTAGAAATACTACGAGGGACAAAATAGTTCAAGTAGGTAATTATGTTTCAGAATTAATGACAGGTACATAGCTACTGAGGAACTAATCTTTTCAATAATCTTGTATAAAAAGAAGAAAGAAGAAGAAAAGAGGTAACTCCTTTAATCACTTGCTTATTTATATATATGTACTATATTCGCGTAATAATTGAATGAAGAATTAACTGTCTCTAAAATTTGCTTTTGTGCTTGAAGCTGTTTAAATGAAAAATTAAAGACTTCTAAGTATATCTAATGTTATTGGTAAATATTATTTAATTTGATAATACGGAGGCCCATGCCTCAGAATTTACATGCCCTTCGGCCTTGTATGTGTGCCTTTTCCACATGCCCGCTTCCAATTTTACCAGGTCCCGGGCTTCAGACTCCCAGGATTTGGTGAAGACTGTCAAACTAGACAAATTTACCACAGGAATAGAAATAAAATTGTCTGGCGTTCAAGGACTTGCCATGGTAGAAGCTCTCTTAAAAAATATTCCATTTCTTGTGGATATCATGACACAGGGTTCACCTGTCATCAGCAGATTTGTGATTTGTTCTACCTGGGCCATACGTGTATTGAATGAAAACAATTCACAGAACCACAAGCACATTGTTGATATATGTAAGGTCTTCTATGTATGTTGTATCCTTATTTAATTAGCTGTTTTATAACAAGACTCTGTTTCATTGGTACTAAAACTAGGTTAATACACATAAAAAAACCAAAAAGCAGTTGTGATATCTATTGTTTTCTATTACTCATTAGTACTCATTTTTGTGTGAAATTTTATAATTATCCATTTCTTGTTCCCCAAAACCATATCTTACAAATTGTATGTATTGCAACTTGCATTTCACTTTTAACTTGTGATACTTGACAAAAACTAGAGGTATTGTGAGCAATGAGCTCACTAAATGATACCCCCGCCTCCCATATGATTATAATGGAAAAGTCAATGTTTTGCTGTGGGCGGGAAACCCAAAATATGTGTCGGATCAAAAAGTAAAATAGAATGCTCACAATGGCAATATGTAATAAAGATTCTGAAGGTTTCATTAAATTTCACTCAGTGGTATTAGAGGAGTTGCGGATAAGAGATGAGTACCCCAAAGCGTACAGACGGACGGACAGCTAGACGTACAGACGAACGGACGGACGGACATACCGATTACAGTATACCCTCCCGCTGTTCAATCGGGGGTTTAATAAATGTTAAAATATTCATATTGCTATTGACGTCACTTATTCTCACATCTCCGCTTCAAAGGGCAGAAATATTGTTTATTTTTTATCCTTGGTTTCAATACTAAAATCCATCAAAATATTTATCACCCCTCCCCCTTTAAAACAATTTATGCTTCAAACATGTGTCATTAAAGTTTTGCACTTGAGAACTTGCAATCATGCTTCCGCCTATCAGTACTCTCAGTACTTTGATTGCAATACGGGATCTGTAGCGTTATGGTCAAAGAAAAATATATAAAACCATAACGCTACAGATCTGCAGATACCATTGTACGTAATTTTTCTGATTTTTAGCTCACCTCAACGAAGCTGGAGGAGCTTATGTAATACTCTCGGCGTCGGCGTTGGTGTCGGCGTCCCAGGTTAAAGCTAAGTTTTTTTGGAGCAGTTTTCTTTTTAAGTACTTCTATGTCCTATATTGACATGCATGGAAGATGCTTCTAGTGTGTTTCATTGTACCAGTCAAAGTTTCAGATGCTGCAATTTCAGCAAAGGAATGACCAGGTTATTTTTTTAGGGGCAGGTTAACATTTTTGGTGCAGTTTTTGGTGTAGGTCTCATTTCCAAGGAACTATAAGTCCAGTGTTGACCAAACTTACATGGATGATACATCTAAGGATGCACACTACCAGGCTTGCTTTGGATGCTGAATCTGACCTTCATTTTCCAGTTGAATGAATAGTTTTAGCTCACCTGAGCCGAAGGCTCAAGTGAGCTTTTCTGATCAAAATTTGTCCATTGTCTGTCGTTGTTGTCGTCGTAGTCGTTGTCGTTGTTGTAAACTTTTCACATTTTCATCTTCTTCTCAAGAACCACTGGGCCAGGAAAGATGAAACTCATGTGGAATCATTCTCAGGTAGTGTAGATTCACATTTGTTCAAATCATGACCCCCGGGGGTAGGGTGGGGCCAAAATGGCCGATCAAAGTCTTACATAGGTATTAATATATAGGAAAAATCTTTAAAAATCTTCTTCTCAAGAACCACTGGGCCAGGAAAGATGAAACTCATGTGGAATCATCCTCAGGTAGTGTAGATTCAATTTTTTTCAAATCATGACCCCCGGGGGTAGGTTGGGGCTAAAATGGCCGATCAAAGTTTTACATGTACATAGGAATATATAGGAAAAATCTTCAAAAATCTTCTTTTCAAGGACCACTGTGCCAGGAAAGATGAAACTCATGTGGAATCATCATCAGGTAGTGTAGATTCAAGTTTGTTCAAATCATGACCCCCGAGGGTAGGGTGGGGCCAAAATGGCCGATCAAAGTTTTACATAGGAATATATAGGAAAAATCTTCAAAAATCTTCTTCTCAAGGACCCTGTGCCAGGAAAGATGAAACTCATGTAGAATCATCCTCAGGAAGTGTAGATTTATGTTTGTTCAAATCATGACCCCCGGGGGTAGGATGGGGCCAAAATAGCCGATCGAAGTTTTACATAGGAATATATAGGAAAAATCTTTAAAAATCTTCTTTCAAGAACCATTAGGACAGGAAAGATAAAACTAATGTGGAATCCTTTCAGGTAGTGCAGATTCAAGTTTGTTCAAATCATGACCCAGACCCCCGGTGGAAGGCAGGGACCAAAATGGTCGATCAAAGTTTTTCATAAGAATATATAGGGAAATCTTTTGAAATCTCCTTCTCAAGTACTTCAAAGCCATAATTAGTGATATTTATATGAAATCATCCTCAGGGTAGTGTAGATTCTAGTTTGTTCAAATCATGACCCCCTGGGGAGTTAAGATTTAAGCCCCCCCCCCCTCAAAACTCAATTGCTTTTTCCTAGCCTGTGTGCTCAGGTGTGCACTGTAGCCCCTGGGCCTCTTGTTGGTGGAGGTCTCATTTCCAAGTAACTATGAGCACTATATATATATAATGACCAAAATTGTATGATGATACATTTAAGGATGCACACTACCGGGCTTGCTTTGGATGCTGAATCTGACCTACATTTTCCGGTTGAGTGAACAGGCTAATGTTTCTAGTGCAGGTCTCATTTCCAAGTAACTATGAGCACTATAATGACCAAACTTGCATGGATGATACATCTAAGGATGCACACTACCGGGCTTGCTTCGGAAGCTGCATGAATCTGACTTACATTTTCCGGTTGAGTGAACAGGTTAATGTTTTAGGTGCAGGTCTCATTTCCAAGTAACTATGAGCACTTTGATGACCAAGCCTGCATGGATGATACATCTTAGAATGCACACTACCAGGCTTGCTTCGTATGCTGATTCTGACCTACATTTTCCAGTTGAGTGAACATGTTAAAGTTTTTGGTGCAGGTCTCATTTCCAAGTAACTATGAACACTATAATGACCATACTTGCATGGATGATACATCTAAGGATGCATACTACCAGGCTTGCTTAGCATGCTGAATCTGACCTATATTTTCCAGATGAGTGATCAGGTTAATGTTTTGGTGCAGGTTTCACTTTCAATTAACTATGAGCCCTATAATCAGCAAACTTGCATGTACTATATATATCTTAGGATGCACACTACCGGGCTTGCTTCGGATGTTGAATATGACATACATTTTGTGGATAATGGACCAAGTAAAAGTTTTTAGGTTCAGGTCTATTACCAAAAAACTCTAAGGCTTATATAACATTGTATAAACCAAACTTGCACAAATGATGCACAAAAACTCCCAATTTTGCTTCAGATGCTGGATTTTAATTACATTTTCATGAAGAAGAACTAGTTCGAATTTTTTATATAGTTCTATTTCAAAGCATCAGATTAAAATTGCTTAAATATTTTCATTTTTGGAATGTACACTTTGTTGGTTAATTGTGTGATTTTGCCTTACTTAAAGACAACATCGTTGAGATGAGCTCTGTAATCTCTGATTACCTATGTTTTTTTAATCATTTTGTTTTTCCTCGTATCTCCATATATTTCATTTCACCCTTTGAGGCGATGAGGTGTATCGTCGATAATAGACATTTGTCTTCAAAAACCCGGTTAATATTACTTTTTCAAGTTCTGTTCAAAAAGGTTTCAGAATTTTGAATGTCATTCTTGCGCGGCCGTGTCAAAATGATTCGTTTAATACAAAACCTGGTTCTCTGAACTCGTCTTACATTCTTCACAGTAACACAATCATATTTGTGAGTGAGTCTTGGCATGTCCTGTAGAGGTGAACTTGCACCAAATGATTGCACTTGGTGTACAAAACGTGCCCCCCCCCCCCCGGTAAATTGCGCAAAAATAAAGTATAGAAAGTAGCCTAATGAGATTAATAATATTTTTATGAGAACGTATTTTTTACTACTACGGAGACTGTAATTAGTATACCAGTATAACTACTGACCATGACAGTAATCTTTCATTTAAAAATGGGTCAATATACCGCATATCCGGTTTTTTTCGCGTGTTGTAAATTTTGCGAAAAAGAGGTAGATTAGTACAGTTTATAATTTGTGTTAGTTATTTTTTACGATTGAAGTTTTTTTTTGTTTAAAATGGTAATGTTTTTATGTCACATTATTTGGTTGCAGTTTATCTTTCTTTGCTATAAAGGAACACATTTTTAAAGAATGAAGAAAAATCCTTTTATTGAAACATTTAAAAAAAAGACATTCCAAACAGAATCACTGTAAAATGTCCAGCAGCTGAAACATAACACTGAGTTTATAATTGGTCTGGCGATGTAGTGATTGTCTCCTCAACTTTTCCTTACTCCTCCTCTCTATTTCCTCCCTTCGTTCTCTGGCTCTCTCTTGCTTCTCTATCATTGTAAGTTCTCTTTTACCTGAAAAAAAAAGATCATTCTTGAACACAACTAAGTATCTATTTATTATCTAATTCATTAAAGAACGTAAAAGGTTTCCTTAATTCTTAGACCCTAAATGTGGTGGTCAATTACAGATACTTTTACGTTGTTCTTACGTTTTAAAGCAACTCATCCTCATTCTCTTTTCTTTGGAGTCTTGTTTTCAGAAATACGTTAGGCCACATTTTCTCTCCTCCAACAGTTACAGGAATATCAAAGGCAACGCCTTCCCCGCTCACTTGGGCTTTGATTCCATTCTTTTTCAGTATCTTTCGCAGCCTCTTTTGCTGTTTTTTGGTGCGAAAAGGAGTTGGAAAAGGCGCAGCTTTACTATGGAAGCAACCCATTGTGTTTATTCTGACTTTGTTGCTATATCACGCTAAGTAATTATGACGTCATCTTAATTGTTATGTCATTCATACTGTTACGTCAAGCGCAAAATAAAAGAATTCAGTAGAATAAAGAAGACAGAAAGAAAATAACATTGAAATTAGAGCACTTAATATTACAGTATTTAATGATTTTATTTTATACTTTTCTTATTTTTATACATAAAAAATACTAGTCCTTCGGATGAGACCCTACAATAAGAGGCGTGAATCTAGATTTTTTTTCCTCGAGTGTGTGTGGAAAGGGGGGTCTACCTGAATTTCAGAAAAAAAGAGACTTCTTTCCCATTGGAAAACTTGGGGTCGTTTAAATACTTTTAAAGCATATATACCTATGACTGTTCATACCAACCTAACAAAGATTTTAGGAGGGGTCTGTGTTTTCAAAGGGGAAGTTTCTCGATCTATACGTATTGTCACACTTTTGGGTCACTTTTACTTCGTGTTTTGTTTAAACAAAAATGAAAGAATAATTAATCAAACGGGCTGTGATGTATGGAGTCTGAAAATGGACTTCATTGTTACGTATAGAATTATTGTAGCTTCTCACATCGTTATCCTTGTTTGTGGTTTTCATTTCTTCTTTGTGTGTGTGGTGGTATACGATCTCGAAGGGACAGGGTGCGAAAATTTATTACACCGTTAGTGCTAAAAGGGGTAACTTGTAAGTCCACTCAGTTGCAATATCATCAGTAAGTAAACATTCATGAAACTGAGCATTTATGCGATAGATTTTTTTTCATTTTTTTTTATCTCAACATGTTCAATGTGAATTTGTGAAAAATAATAGATACTGGCTTAAATATAGAGTCTACACATATTTTTCGAAAAGTTTTCATGTAACGTTAAACCGAAAGTAGAATGTTTATCTTTGTTAAAAAAATTGTTTTACTTTTTTTGAAATTATTGATTTAATCTTTATGGTTATATTTATCGTAAAAAGGATTATCTGAATACAGAAATATATATTACACTATCAGAATAAAATCATATTTAAATCATGACAAGATAATGATAATAATGAATCTCAAAATAGGGGCCTGTTCATGTATGGACATGTGTCACATTATCAGGACATAAATTTTAAATATCCATGTCAAAACCATAACATTTACATCACACGTTTTCTGCATATCAAATGAAATGTAATCTATTGCATTCAGAACACCATTACATTACACGGACAGGGTGCCAAAAGTTTCAAGCATGTGTTTAAGTTTGACTTCACAATTGTTGAACACCTATGAAGTGCAAAGTCATAATCCAAAATCACACTCACATTGACCAGAAGCTGTTATTTTGGCTCTTCCATTAACTGTAGCTTACACGAAGGATAATACGTAATTATTTAGTTTTTTATATAACTCACATAAATTACATTCAAGGTAGACTTGGTATAGAGAGCTAAAAATGTAAATATAAGCAATGAATCATTATTTTTGAAAGATTTAGTCTCATAACTGCAACGGTGTGTGCAAACAAATTTTTATAACCCATGACAATTTGTTTGCACACTTCGTTGCAGTTACGAGACTAAATCTTTCAAAAAATAATAATTCATTGCTTTTATAAGCACTGTACAATGATACAATTTACATTACATATTTTTAAATTTTAGGTTCAGTTCAGGATGAATTCTGGTGCTTATGAAGTGATGAAGGGAAAACCATGGAAAGCTATCAACTTTGATTGGGATTTTTCAGTCGGTGATAATAGACTCAGAAGAGGAATCGCAATTATACAACAGAGGCAGATTTTTACTAGAATGTTGGTAGATTTAAAGTTTGAAATTTATCCATTTGATAACCAAAAAAATGTGAAGTCCACAAGAAATTTATCCAAGACCCAATTTTTGGAAGAATTGAAAAAATGTACGTCAATTTTTCACTGTTTGTCTTAATTCACTATATACTGAGTATATCAAACATGTATCCAAACTTCAAATTAGAATTGTTTCAGCCAGAGATATATATCTACATATATGTACTTTATGCATGCATGGGAAATTTTGCTCCTGTTTTATTTTTGACGTTTAGTATTAACCTCAGTTGAACAAATTTAAAATGGGCGAATTTCATAGAATATGTATTTGATTTCTTAAACAAAACTGTTACTGGTCGAATTTAAAATGGGGCAAAAATGTTTGCAAGTGTGAAAGGGTGAAAATAAAGTGGGACAAAAATAACCCTGTATATGTATATATACCTGAAACATGTACATGTAGTATCTAAAAACCATATGCTTCAATGTGGATATATTTTTTTAAAATCTGTGTCAACTGAATAGCTGGAGTATATTGCTATTTATGAGGATATGTTTGAGTTAAGAGTCAAGGTCACCAGGTAGTGCAATGTTGACAGGCTATCAACTTGGAACCTGAAGATGTACCATTTGAAATAAATTTGTAAAAATTAAGCCCCCTCCCCTCACAAGGAGAGATAATCAAGAAAAGACAAAGATAGGTTGGGGTAATCTCCAAATATTCTAAATCTTTCCAAGAACCACTGGGCTAGAAAAGCTGAAACATATGTGAAAAGTGTTTTGGGGTAGTGTGGATTCTAAATTCTTCAAATCATGACCCCTGGGGTAGGACGAGGCCACTATGAGGAATCAAAGTTTCAAGTAAAAATATCCATGAAAATCTTTTTTTAAAAAATCTTCTTTTGAGGAAACAATGGACAAGAAAAGTTAATAAATTGAAAACTTGAGTGGAAGCAACCTGGGGTAGTGTCGATTCTAAATTGTTCAAATCATGGTCCCCAGGGGTAGAATGGGGCCAAAATAGGGAACCAAATTTTTCAAATTAAAATACACAAGCAAATCCCTTGAAAATCTTTTTTAGCTCACCTTAGCTGAAAGCTCAAGTGAGCTTTTCTGATCACCCGTTGTCCGTCGTCCGTCCGTCCGTCTGTAAACTTTTCACATTTTCAACTTCTTCTCAAGAACCACTGGGCCAATTTTAACCAAACTTGGTACAAAGCATCCTTGAAATCAAGGACCAAGACCCCTTCCAAGGGGAGATAATCAAGAAAATACAAAAATAGGGTCGGGTCATTAAAAAATCTTCTTCTCAAGAACCACTGGGCCAGAAAAGCTGAAACTTATATGAAAGCATCCTGGGGTAGTATAGCTTCTAAATTGTTCAAGTCATGACCCCCGGGGGTAGGGCGGGGCCACAATAGGGAATCCAAGTTTTACATAGAAATATATAGGAAAAAACTTTAAAAATCTTCTTCTCAAGAACCACTGGGCCAGGAAATCTGAAACTTATGTGGAAGCATCCTTGGGTAGTGTAAATATTAAATTGATAAAATCATGACCGCCCGGGGTAGGGTGGGGTCACAATAGGGAATCCAAGTTTTACATAGAAATATATATGAAAAAACATTAAAAATCTTTTTCTCAAGAACCACTTGGCCAGAAAAGCTGAAACTTATGTGGAAGCATCCTGGGGTAGTGTAGATTCTAAATTGATCAAATCATGACCCCCGGGGTAGGGTGGGGCCACAAAAGGAAATCAAATTTTAACTTAGAAATATATAGAAACAAAATTTTAAAATCTTCTCAAGAACCACTGGGCCAGAAAAGCTGAAACTTATGTGGAAGGATCTTAGGGTAGTGTAGATTCTAAATTGTTCAAATCATGACCCTTGGGGGTAGGGTGGGGCCACAATAGGGAATCCAATTTTTACATAGAAATATATAGGAAAAATCTTTGAAAATCTTCTTCTCAAGAACCCTTGGTCCAGAAAAGCTGAAACTTATGTGAAAGCATCTTGGGGTAGTGTAGATTATAAATTGTCCAAATCATGACCCCTGTTGGAAGGAAATCTGTTAAAGAACAGCATGGCCAAAGTTTCTCAGGTGAGCGATGTGGCCCATGGGCCTCTTGTCTGAAGAACCACTAGGCCAGAAAAGTTGAAACATATAGGGAAATATTCAAGGGTAGTTTAAATTTTAATGTAATAAAAACATGGGGCCACAATAAGTATTACAAGGAAAGGGGTAAATCTAGTGAAAAACAGAAGGGCCAAAGTAACTGAGCATTGTTGCCCATGGGCCTCTTGTCATTAATGATCTAAAGTTGTATCCTGATCATGACCCAAGGTCATATCTCAAGGTCATGTTAGGTCACTGGCACTGGTAAGGTCAATGAAATGATGACATTATAGATCAGAAGAAATCACAAGCATCTTTGGGTAATGTTGCTTGAATTTTGATCAAAACATTAATTTATGGTCATTATATGGGGAAAAGATGTATTAAATAAAAAAAATAATGACATTAAAATTTGCAACAATTGTCAAGTAGACAATGAGCCACAATATGTGTATACTGTAGGTAAATAGATCGCTATTGTTTTAGCTAGCTCTACTAGTCAGAGACCAGAAGAGCTTATTTGATTAGTAATGTGTCCGTCTGTCTGTCTGTAAACAATTTTTCAAAAAAATTGCTATTCCTCCTACAGTTCTAGTCTGATTTCCATATAACTTGGCACAAAAGTAGACTACACTTAGATACATGATTCTATATATCGGTTTTTGATTTCGATGAATGGTGTTGCCGTGGTAACTAAAAATAGACATTTTTGTGAAATACTTTTAAAATGCTTCTCCTCCTATAATTTTAGTCTGATTTCAATATAACTTGGCACGCAAGTAGGCTACACTAAGATACCTATTTCTTTTTATCGGTTTTTGATTTTGATGAATGATGTTGCCGTGGTTACTAATAAAAAATTCTGTGAAAAACATTCAAAATGCTACTCCTCCTACAGTTTTGGTCTGATTTGAATATAACTTGGCAAACAAGTAGACTACACTAAGATACAAAATTCTGTGTATCAGTTTTTGATTTCGATGAACGGTGTTGCCGTGGTTACTAAAAATAGACATTTCTGTGAAAAACATTCAAAATGCTACTCCTCCTACAGTTTTGGTCTGATTTCAATATAACTTGACACACAAGTAGACTACACTGAGATACAAATTCTGTTTATCGGTTTTTGATTTCGATGAATGGTGTTACCGTGGTTACTAGAAATAAGAAATTTCTGTGAAATACTTAAAAAATGCAATTCCAAATACAGTTTTAGTCTGATTATAGTACATATATAATGTGGCATGCAAGTATTAATGTACACTGAGATACATGATCATTATTCTATTTATTGCTGTTGTGAAGTCTCAAGTCCCAATTGCCACCTTTCTTTGTTTAAAGTACAAACCAGTAGAGCTACAGTCTCGACACAGACTTCTGGTTTGAAAGAGAGTGATGGTGGTGGACAGAATTACAAAAAGTTTCATGAATGTTTTAAATGATCTCAATGAATTCATGTTTTGTGCTTTGATAATGTGATGTAAGATGATCTTAAATGTTTGTTTAACATGTTGAAGTTAAAGGACTTTGCTGTGGTGGCTCGTGTGGATGCCTTTGGGTGACAGTGTCCTCCCATGGAGTGATTCTGCCACAAAATGAACAAAGAGACGGACAGACAGACAATGTGGAAACCCAAGACAGACAGACAGACAAGGTGGAAACATACGAGGATTACGTTTTGACACATCCAGAACCAGACAAAAACGGATTCTCAACAGACTTTAAAGATGAACGAGTCTCAGTGAGGGAAATAGTTGAAATATTCAAAGATCCAGAATTAAAAGGCATACCAAAAATATTCTTTATTCAGGTACAGCTCCATTTTAAAAAAAATAAAACTTGTAAATATAATATTGTAAAACACAAATTTCTGTGACACCATGATTTTGGGGGAATCATAGTTGTTCAATTGCTAAATTAAGTCAAAGCAAAATTTCTTCCAAATAAAGTTATAATTGTCTGTGTTCTATGTGATTTGTTTTGTTTTTACTTTAGAGAGCAAACATTTCTTTGTAGGCATGTAGAGATGATTCAAAACAAATTGCCGGAAATCCAGGGGTAGATGTAGGTGTGCAGGTTGTTGTGGTAGAAGATGAAAGTTTGTCCGGCAAGTTTTAATTTCATTGCATAATGTTTATCTGTAGTATTAAATTTGTGGATTGGCTTGTCAAAAACGGAAAGAGCTTATATTTATGCCTCCCTTTGAAGATTGGAGGACATATTGGTTTGCTGCTGTCTGTCGGTCGGTCAGCCAGTTGATCAGTCTGTCTATCAGTCCATCAAGTTTCTTTTCATTTTCTTTGCAGAGGTTGCACATATTGAAATGAAATGTGGTGGGCTATACAGATTTATCATAAGAATATCTAGGTCAAGTAAAATTTTGGGTACAATTGAGAGATTTGACAGAGTTATGCCCCTTGCACTTAGAATGAAACATATGGAGATACCAACAGTATTCAAGCTTAAAAGTCCGTAAAACAATACAAAATAGGAACAGAGCAAATACAACCCCTTGAAACATCAGAGGTGGGATGAGGTGCCATGGATGAGAGAGCATCCCCTGCAGGCCAGTTCCACCCGCCGTGTGCTCCTTGTCATGATAGGGAAATGAAAAAATACATCGACAATTCAATGTATAAATAATGGACTAGTCTAACATTTCGTATGAAAAACGTCAGTCAGAATTTGACTCAATGATATATTATATTTCCTAACAAGGTCATTGTATAGACCATAGAACTTATGAAATGATTACTTTAAACGAGACTGTAGATATTCTTGTTTCATTAACTTGATTGTTTAATACATGTATCACAAGTTTCATTTTTATTGAAAAAACTGTTGAAATTCTTGTTTCATCAACTTATTTGTTTAAAGATGTATATGCCGTATTTTTGCACAACTGAAACCAAACAAAAATTCCTGAAGTATGATAAGCTATAAAAAATGAAGCATTCTTGCAAATTCGACGAAATATTATTTGTTATTAACAAAGTACTGGTCAGGAAAAGAACATGATATTCTAATGCATATTTATGAAGAATTGACGTGATCGTTTTTCCAAGCATTTTACATGCTTATGCATTATGTACATTATTATATCTACCATGCTCACATATACATACAAATGATTAACAATGATAAAAATTAGGGTTTTCCTCGCCCCATTGTACAAGTCTGTTTATTTACAGCTTTCTCCTTGCTGTGATTTCAGTGAAAAGTCAATTTCACGTGATCATTCCATGGTACAAAAAGCAACTAACTCTGAGATGTGCTCATGTGTTGAAAATGTTTACAAAGTACATGTATACAACTTCGAAACACACAGACGAGTATGCTACTCAACACACGTTCTACGATCAATGCACATGAAATTAATACAGAGGGATTTTTTTTTTAAAAAACGTGCAACTTAAGTCTTTTCTTCTTTTTATAAATGAATGAACTTTAAATTTTTAGTAACAAATAACTAAGCAACAGTTAACTCAACCAGTTATATTGCAAATTTACGAATATCGAGTTTAAAAACTGAAGTCTTATTTACTTGCGGAGACTTTGTGAGCGGTATTTCAAAGTACTCTTGAACAAGGAAAACTGAATTTGTTTGTTAAAGTGAGCATGGGAATTCTTAATTAATATCTATTCTTCGTATTTTTCTCAAACACGTTCAAAAAATTGTAAATTGGCTTTCCAGCAGTCATTTGAAATTGCATCCTAAATTTCCCTAACCCACGTGTTTGTAGTAAAAATAAACATGTAGTAGCCCATCATGCTTTTCGGCTCATTCATGAGATTGGACCGTTGTTTGCTGTGAGCATGAATATTTCAATAAGTTTAATATCCGACTCGGAGAGAAAATAATTTTTACTAAATAATATTTCATTTACACTTTTTGATGTGATTGAGTGGGATTGTTTTGTTTGCAGAAAGTATGTAACTTATATAACTTGATGAGATACCACATTTATTTATTTCTTTAAAAATAAAACACTAATACGGCATATATATCTTTAATTTATGAGTTTCATTTTCATTGAAAAGCAGGCCTGGGGGCCATAAAACTTAGACAAACTCAGTTTTGGTCTCAATCTCACTTATACCAAAGGAATATTGTAGTGGAAAAGTGAGATCTAGTCTGAGCTCAAAAGCGACTCGTCTAAGCTTTATGTCAATGAGATCGAGAAGCCTGGACTTTAATTTATCGTGGGGAAATGTTGTGTATAATGTTGAAAAGTCGTAAGTTTTTAAGCTGTTGATTTTAGTAAAATCTTGTGATTTCAAATTGTCCAAAAGTTCCTTGAAATTTTTTAATATCCGCAACTGATTTACCCCACTTTTTGAATATATTGTTCCTTCACTACTGCAAATATCTTAGTGAGGAGATAAGAAACAGGCTTGGTTGAACATTTACTGAA